TATATAGACAGCTTCTGATACACAGGTAAGATACAAAAAACTCTACCATACAAAATGAGTGCCACTACCATACAAGAGGATTATAATCCTCTGGCAAAATAACATTGTGAATCATTTTGCTCCTTAGCTTTTGGTCCTGTTTTCATGCAAATACTGTTTTCTTAGTAATAAAGACTACAGGAAAGCGGTTAAGACATGCTATCCATTTTAGGTTGTGTGATTCCTATTTGTGCTGCAGGTAGCAAACAATAAGTGAAATCCAATAAGGAATCTTTAGAATTTATATTGTTCCATAAATGCTGCAATTTTCTTTATGAGAGACTGACGGAACCATATAGGATATCCTGCATTTCCCTACAGTCCCACATGAAAAGTTTGAGGATTATTTCAACTGTGCCACATAAACCTAATGCTCCAGCAATGACATGACAATCTCAAAATGGCTAGTAAAGCAATGGGAGCAGAACTCATCAAACCAGAAATAAACGTGACAGTGTCTAAAAGTGTTACTGTAATAGATACAGTGACTTACCAATTTTCCATTTCCACATAAGTTAAATTACTACACAATTCAAAATCATGCAGAGATGAACATTTTGACCAATTCAGGAGCATTTGTTTGCATAGTTTCATCATTTACACTCATTTCTTGAAGTTGCTCTTTGAGCCATCTATATTGTATCCATTTATACTTTTCTCTTTATTTTAATAGAGAAAACTAAAAGGAAAAATGAAGCTAAGAGTTTTCCTGCTATATCTAGGCTGTGTTTTGCTAAATAGCACACTTTTTTCTGTATTAAATCTGAAATGATTCCATAAATTACCTGAAAATATTTTCTTTGATGAAGTATACCTATTTTTCTCAGTAAAATCATGTTGAATCAAAGAAACACAAACATTTGTCTCCACCAGGTGATATGGCTTCCTAAAAAATCATAAGCATTGTAATCTATCATTTGGAAAACATGCCTAACAGGCAGCATGTTCCAGTGGTTAGGATACTTGGCTGGCAATCAAGAGATTGGGATTCTCTTCCTTTCTCTGCCACTGACCTAGTATACAATCTTGGGCAAGTTACTTCATCTCTCTGTGCCCCACTTCCCCACCTGTAAAATGAGGATAGTGATACATACCATTATTTTATTACTTTGAGATTTACACTGTGCAAGGGAGAAATTTATTAATTATTTCTGGCTAGGGACAATATAGGCCCAAATTCTGCCTTCAGGTATGCCCATGCAACTCCCATGGGAGGCATATGCATATCAGAGGGCAGAATGAAGCTGGACGTCTTCCCCTGTTATAGATTATCCCATACTCTGTAGGGATTTAGTGAAAAGTATGCTCTTCTAACAAAGGGTGGTAAGACTGGTCAGTTTTAAAAATTCCTGGCACACAAAAAACATGAGGACCATTTAAGAATAATACTCGGGACTGTCTGTTTCTGGAATAAAGACTAAGACTGTTTAGCAGATATTCTTGCATGGTATTTTACATGCATTAGCTCAAAAGGATCGTGCAGGAGGTGATGAAAGATGGATATATTCTTTCCAATCCAGTGAGTAGAAAGATGCTTCATGTAGAAAACCTTTTGTAATTCTGGTTATGGTGAGATACTTACTCTGAGATACATAAGGGAGCAGTGACTCCAGTTACAATGCCACACAACACTACAACCATGCAATAGAGTGGTAAAGGAGTGGAAGAATGGTTCTGCCATTGTCCTACAGAAGGGGGGGGTTAGGTGTAGTAGTTTCAGAGTAGCAGCCGTGTTAGTCTGTATCCACAAAAAGAAAAGGAGTACTTGTGGCACCTTTGAGACTAAAAAATTTATTTGAGCATAAGCATTTTGTGTTTGTATTTTATATAATTTAGAATGAAGGATAAAGAATAATAATGTAGCATGTATTAAATGTATTGGTGTATGATTTGATCATATCCTGCCAGCCACCCTTTTTGAATAGCAGAAAGGAATGGCCTAATTAGCCATTGGTAGAGATGTATCAGCCAGAATCTGTGTCCATGCTGATTTCAAGGCAGTGACAGACCTTTTAGGGTCACCACTTTGTTGTAGGTCTAGCATTTTAAAATAAGTAAAAGAATGCAATGATTGTTTTTCTTTTGCATTGGAACTTGATGTTCCTGTTCAAAAGCTCTGTGTAAATTAATTCTGTTTTGTGTGTGAATAAGAAATGTGTGCGTTAGAAGATAAGCGTGAAGGCCATCACCGAACCAGATGTTCTAGGGAGGAACCAAGGACAGATGTAAGGGCGCCAGGAGCAGAAGAGGGCAGACTGATGACTCTAAAAATGAGACAGACACCTATCAATGGGAACAAGATAGCTCTCATCAAAACCAGCATGGGGTAACACCCTGAGAGACTTGATGAAAGAACAAGATAAAAGATAAGAAGGACAATTTAAGAAAACAAGCACTTATCAAACAACAATTTTATTACAGTATGATGGTGCAAAACTCATTGGTCCCAATGAAGGAGAATCACTATATAAACAGGGTGCCTTGCCATAAAACTTTGGGTTTGTCCTACGAAGACTTCCCCAGAGCATCATGTCGCGACCAACAGAACCCGGCTCCTACCTACCCTTGATCAACCTAGCTGGCCACTAGATTGATCCGGAGTCTGGACTAGTAACTATAACATCAACTGGTGGGACAGTGTGTGTGATTGAATGCATATGCTAATTGTTGTATCTTCAATAAACGCGGCATATTGCCTTTTCCCCTCAAAAAGATCCTGTGTGCTTCTTATAAGCACAACATAGGAAAGGTGCAAACAAGTTTTACATTAGGAAATGAAGCAAAGCAAGAGTAGAGACATATTATAATATCCCTTTGATCTGGAGCGTTCCATCCATTTAGGGGCACCTGCCCTTAGAAAACATACTCAATGCTTAGAAATGATTTCTTGGTTGCCTACAGTCCTGCCCATGATTGCTGCGTGTCAAAATGGCTTTGTGTCTGTTCACAACCTGGTCAAATTATTTCTCTCAGGTGTGCCAGTTCTAAGATACAGCCCATAGCACATGGTATAAAGGCCAACTCTTCCATATTAAGACTTCTTAAGTTTTAAAACTGTAGAAGCTTTAAAAGTAAAGAGTCTCAGACAAAAGCCAGTATTCATCTACAGCTCAGTTGTGTCTTTAAAACACAATCCTGCTGACTTGCTATCTGGAATGGTTCACAACTGTGAGCGCCAACCTCAGGGCAGACACTCCAAACTGGTGCTATCATTAGATTTAATCAACCCAGTAACAAGTGTGAACTCCTAAAGCATTATCACAGTCTTACCATGGAGTCACAGACAGTTGCTAGTTGGTTGCTATACACCAAAGATCACAAAATATTCAGGTTGCTTCCAGTCCCAAGAGATCAATCATTTACGCCAGGTAAATTTGTACCTTAGATTTCTCACCAAAGACAACTCTTGTAGTCAATCCTATAATAAACTAATTAAATATTTATTAACTAAGAAAAATAAAAGAGTGATTTATTACAAGGTTAAAGCAAGTAAATATATATACACAAATGAGTTACAGTCTAGGGTTTTAAAAGGTGACAGATGTAGTCATCTGTCAGCTCTGGATGTCTTTTAGAGATAACCCAGGTTGACCCTAGGGATCTTTGCTTTTGGTTCATAGCTCCCTCCAGCCCTATGAGAGTCCAAACAGCAAAAAAGATGAACAATGTTCTTATTGGCTATTTTTATTTTCTTCTTCCCGAATGCAAGCTGAGGAGACAAGCCTTTTTGTACATAGCCTCTTTGTAGTGTGAGGAGACAATTAAAGTCTTTGTATTAATGCATTTCTTTGATCTGTCATGATTTCACCGAGAAAAATAAATACTTCATCAAAGAAAATATTTACAGGTAATGTACAGAATTATTTCAGATATAATTCAGAAAAGGTGTGCTACTTGGCAAAAATCCTCAGCCTGGATATAGCAGGAAAACTCTCAGCTTCATTTTTCCTTTTAGTTTTCTATATTAAAATTCCACAATTGTGTATTCCACAGTGACCCATTTAGTTTTGATACTCTTTTTGATTGGCAGGAGACAATCCCTCCTGGCTGGGTTCACAGTTTCAGAGCAAACCATTTTTACAGTTATAAAGCAAAAACTTAAATATTACCTTATATAAAGATGTTATAGGTGAGATTAATGCATGCAGTAACTTACAATCATTTCATAAAGTCTAAACACTAAATACATTGTTGTAAGTCCAATACCCATTTGAACTATATCTACAACATGGGTGAAACAGACTGGTTTCCAGCAATGAACTTGTCAGTGATTGGACTGAGACCAGCATCACACCTGCACTGAAGAACAATTGTGTAGAGCTGAACTATGCCAGTGGGCACTCAACAGGCAATTCTGCCTCAGAGGCAGAATTCTCCCTGGAGCTCCTTGTGTGGGGTAGACAGAGCAACTAGTCTGCTTTGTCCCTTTCTTGCTCTCTTTGGTGTGTCTTATGCTTTAAGGATGACTAAAGGGAGCAGTACCTGAACTTCAACAAGCTCAGGTATTTCAACTGGGCCCCACTTTTAAACCAGGGTAAATAATCTGGATGTTAAGGGCTGCAAAATGAAACTCACCCCATTTGTCATAGGGTGTGGCTGCCCCATAGCATCCCCTGCTGCTCATGTGTGACACAACCAGCACTCATTGCCTCAGTTTCCTTCCTGAAGCTGGCTCTCCTCCACTCTCCACATACAAGTCTGTGCAGGAGATGTGGCTTAGCCCTCCAGTCAAGTCACACACAAAACTTAACCCCCTACCAAGGTAACAAGAGTCCAAACTAAGAAGTCCCAACAAACAAACAAAAATATTTTTCTGCCCTTCAGGGCTTCTCTTCAGCCCTTCCTCAGGACCCAGTGAGGGCTAGTGTCCCTGCAAAGGAAATAATGTGGGTGCTGATCTCTGCTTTTGCCCCTCCGAGATGTTCCCTGTAAACTGTGTGCACACACCACATATCACATACCAATCAGGTGGCTCAGCCATGCAGAACTCCGTGGCTGCTGGGAGTGGAGGCAAGAGCAGAACCCAGAGAATCTGAAGTAGCTTCTGCGGTCCTTAGAGGCTGGAATGAGACCCAGAGTGAGTGCAGTGCCCAGAATTGGGCCAACGAGCGGTAGGAACCAGGATGACTGTGCTGGGGCTGGGCGCAGCCGTGCTTGAGGCTCCACTTCCCCCATTTCCCCTGCCTCTGACATTGGTATAGGTATGGCTCTCCCATCTCCCCTTAAAGGGACCAGTCACCCTGTGACACTGGTGTTAAGACAGAGTCTGCCACTGCTGAATAAGCTTCAGTATTTAGGTTCTGGTTTATACTAACTTGTTATATTGTATTCACCCGCAGTGGGGTTTTTAATTATCTAAATTTGAGTGAAATTCTGTCTGTTATACCCATATATTCCAACTGGCTTCAATGGGAGTACACATCAGTAATTCCAGGCAGAATCTGGGACTCTGCATTAATAAAATATTGTGGGATCTCACTAATTTGCACTTTGCTCAAACTTATGCTCATCCCATAATTTGCACACAAAAAACCAGTGGTTTCTCCTCACTTTTCAGCATCTCTATAATGAGGGAGTGCTACTGTCTCATTTACTATGATTTATTCATTTTATTGCCAAATATTTAGTAGGTGACCATACTCTGAAGTATAATAATTAAAGCCCAACTATACTTGTTAAGTAAATGAAGAAAAGGTTTTTATGATGCATTTTCCCTGCTTGGTTTTCTTTTTGTTTGTTTGAATTGTATTTGCTTGTTTACTTGCCAATTTACAAAATTTAGTCATTTGGAATGGGTTTCCCAGTCACTGATTTAAATTAGTTAAGTTCAACTGCATTATCTTCTTTCACTAGCAATAAAAATATCCAGGTTTTTATAATTTTATAGGTATTTTCTCTACATTTTTTGTAAAGTTATGAGACACAAAGGGATGGAAAAATTCTGAGATAGGAAGCATAGGAGACATGATGAAATAACAGAAAAGAGCACCCCAGAATGACAGGGTGAAAACTATCTTCCCTTCTGGACTAATAGGTAGAGAGTGGACATAAATCAATGTAGCAGAGGTTTATTTGCAAAGATTATTTTTAAAATGTGTAAACCAACATCTGAATGAGCTTTCCCATACCATCAATTCGGGAACAGAGGGAAAAGACCTCAGGAGCAGACCATATTTGCATAGACACAGCTGCTTTGCCTAGGCAGTTAGCAAACAGACCTGCACTGCCAAAGTGATCAATTTTGGCTGTTTTGGGTTAAAATTCACTTTAGTCCTGGATACCCTAATTGAGGGGGATCACCCTTAATGGAACCTCACTCCCTAAGCAGGGGGTAGTGATGCCAAATCCAAATGGAAGTCAAAGGGGGTGGGGACAAAGTGTTCCTATCTGGTGGTGTGGAGTCTGTTTAAAGAGTCCTAGTCACAATATGATCCTCCCTGTCCAGTAAGCAAAGACAGAGGTGATCGGACTCAAATTAGAGTCCTTGCTTCTGATGAGCGATCACAAGGTAAGCTGCTGTATGGTGCTGAAACTCAGATCTGGTGTGGGGACAGTGTCGTGCTGGAAGGCGACAGAGGCTGCAGCAGCAGAGAGGTTCCCCATTTCCCGCTGACATTACTGAGAGCTAAAATCACTAGGAACTGGGTTAAACGGTGGAACCTCAGAACACAGCATGGCAGCAAGGGGCCGAGGCAGTAGGAAGCAGTACGAGCGACTAGCAGCGACAGAGACAGCAGTGTGCAATGGCAAAGGCGGTGTAGACAACAGCAGCTCCTGCAGAGGCACTGCTCAAACCCCTTCCCACTTTCAGGGTGGGAGGTGAACCCACATGGACACACCTCTGAAATCTGACCTCGGACAACCAACCATTAGTGGGGTGTAGAAGAGGGAAAAGGGGAGTAGCGTGTTAAAGGGACATTCATCTGACAGATTGTGTACTGCAAGGTAGGAAACTGAGGTGAAAGACTACTGCCCAAGGTACCATAATATGGGTGTTTGGTTACTGTTTGCATTCTTTTGAATCACTGACATGGTACTTTTCCAAATTAATGCTGAGTTCCCTCTCCCTTTGAATAAATGTTTGTTGGAGAGGGAGGGGATATATACACAGACTCCGTGCTCGTGAATGGGGAAGTATTGCCTCTTAGAAGTGCCCAGAGGTGGTAGCAAGTTTTTCCACACATCTGGGTGGAGGCTTGAGCTGGTTCTGTTTTGTAATGCTAAGAAGAACCCCTACATATTGAGTCCGGCCCAGGTTGCTACCAACCCTACCTGGCAGAAGAGTTACAAATGGAAAGCATGAGACTGATTTCTTAAATCATTAATATTAAATAGCTTTGCATTTGCAGTGTGTTATACTATTACTTAACATGAAATTGGCTTATAAGGTTTTATAAGAATGGCTGGTCTTTCAGACACTTATGGGTACATTTTCAGCACAAAGCATAGGAATTAACATTAATGGGATTTATGCAGCAAAGTCCCTGAGCACCACTCTAAATGTTTCTCCACTTTGCTACTAATTCAGTGGGGTTGAAGGATGTAAATGAAAGCAGATTTTGAAGTAAAATATATATACGGGCCAGGTTTCCTGCTTGTGTAAATTGGCATAGCTTCATTGAAGTCATTAATATGGGAGTCAAATTTTCTTAATTGAAATTTTAAGCTAGAATAATGTATCTATTTTATGTTATAACCTTTTAAAATACATAAGATACATACAGGATCAGAGGACATGTATCAATACAACTGAAATTGTTTTCTGCAGCTGCTATCTATAAATGGGCTCAAGCCACAAAGTTCAGATCCAGGCCCAAAGTTTTCCAATATTTGGTTTTGTGCTATCTTTACTACTGTTCATTACAATGAAAATATCACCAATTCAAACGTAGTCTGATATGGAGAGGGTCTAAAATATTACGGTCAATTATTACCTTCATTTTGCTATCAGCATTTTAATATTTTAAGCAGATCTTATGAATTTTGGTTGAAATTCACAAGACTGGTCATTGTGATGTTATGGCTTCAGTTTAAAGGAAGAACCTGATTTTTAAATAAAGAAAACAAACCTTCAAAATATTAAGGAGATAAGTGCCTGTTCCAAAAGTCAAATAACAATTCTCAAAATTTACTCACACGTTATATTGTATCTTTTATCTGCATGTTCTAATTTCTAAGAAATAATACTTGTATCAGTAGGAGAAAAGGAAAGGCACCAGTTAGTAAAAAATAATGGCTGGAAGACCCTGCACATTTGTGGTACTGGCAGTCTAACTTTGGGATCAATTAATATCCCACGGTTACTTAACCTCATTATTCCCCATCACATCTTACTATTATGTACTGTGCCATATACTTTGTTGTAGTGGGCAAAATCAATAGAAATTGTTTAAATTTTAAATACATTTTAGCATTAAATGCTAATTCACAATGTTGTTATGCCATACAGTCACACAATATCCATTTAATCAAAAGTTATTAACCATCCACAAGTTTTATTTTCAGCTGCAAAACTAAACAGTTAATAGTTTAATAAATTGGTATGGTCATCATTCACACAATCCAATTGATTTTGAATGACTCACTTCTGTTATAATTAACAGTGTATAATAGCACACTGAGAAAATGTCAGTTCCTGTAGGCTGGCTGAACAATGGTAACCCAAAATTGAGCGATGCCTTAACAGTTAATGAAATTCTTTTTTAACCAATCAGAAGGAAATGTGTTCTTCATTTATAATACCATATGGATATCCGGACATATGGATGGTTCATAAATGCTCTACATTAAATTGTTATTTTTACGTTTTCAGTGTAACAAAAACACCAAGCAGGTGTTTTTAAATGTCACATTTTGAACAGCAACAGTTTCATTAACATAGAAAATTCATTATTCACAGTTGTATTACTGAAATATTAGTCAAGAAGAGATATTTTATTGGTGATATGGCAATATATCTATAGCAGGCATTCTTCTCCTGTATTTTAAATATCTCTTTCCCTTTCATACGTGTAAATGCACACACTCTCTTTCTGATCACAGTCGTAGCCATGATATTTATTTTCAGTACTGAAATTATAATATTTTGTAAAGTCATGAATATACTCTCACTCCATTCTTATCGAGCACTGATCTGTGTGATGTCTTGCTCCTTTTTGTTTTGCTACAATGGGGTATCTTCACAGTACACCATATATACATAATTTATCCATGAAGCAGTTTAACACCATCCTTGCATTTGCAGAGGGAAATATAGAAGAAATGGTATGTGTTACAAAATTTTGTTAACTCTTGGGTTTGGTTTATTTTTTCAAAGCATTTAGTGTTGTATAAATTATAAAACATAATCAAGAGACATGAGAATGATCTCTGTAATCAACTTCAGTCTCTGCATATAAGAAAAAGTATTACAAAAGAAGAAAGAACATTAAAAATGTAGATTCCCACATACTTTGTTCTTTAATACAGTACATATGCAATTGCCACTACCAACATTTTTGTCTAGAATGATTAAGGAGTTCCAAACAAAAATGGGTCTGCAATTTCATCTATCAGTGCCAAAATGTGTAACGCAGCACTGTGTTTCCAATGACCTGTAAGCAGTTTCCTTTCTGAACTCTGCTTCTTTGGAGTTTGTGGCTCAGATAGTTTAATTTCCAAGTCTACAACTTGGTATATAAGATGTCAGCCAGAAGTGGTTCCCCACATTCCCCTGCCCACCAAATAGTTTCAGTCAGTTCAGCCATTTTAAAAAAGTTGGTTTGCACTCTAGCTCTCTAAAGCTATATTTTCATTATCACTTTTCTGACATAGTTTATGTGTAATATAAAAGAAATAACAAAAACAAAATGCAAACATAAAAATTGACAGTATATAAAACTCTAACATTGTGTTAGTCAGATATAAACCTAGGCGTACAGGAACGCTGCAAAGGCACCACTGACATATGCCTGTACGCTGTCGGGTAGCAGCCCCAGAAATACGTATGTTCCTCACAGAAATTAGTTCTAGTGGAAGTGTGAATAATATCTAATTGCCACTGTCGGATTTGGAGAGAAAG